GAATCTTGATTAGGATATTGAAAAATTTTTCCCAAAAAAATACAATTTTAAGTCAGGAGGTCATGGCAGAATTATTTACTATAAAATTCATGATTCAAGCTGAGGGGGTCCTAGAAAACCTTTCTTTACAAATTCCAAAATTTTTAGTCAAAGGTCCGTTTTTTAGATAATTTCGGCCGGGCCCGACTTTGAATACCCTCCACCATTTGGAACGAATTTAGAAATTTTGAAAAAATAAAATCCTTAAAAAATTCTGGTGAAATTTAAAAAATAAAACCGAATATAGCCGTTATATTGTAGTCTATACGACGTGGACCTACATAGATATTGCTTGTCATAAGTCATTACCATATTCAAATTCGAAACTTGAAATAAACGGTGAACAATGTAGCTACAATCATAAAAATGTCATATGTAGGGAGGTACCGTTATATCGGAGCTGTGCGAAGACCTGGACCAGCAAAGACAATATTCTGTCATAGGCTGTAGCATCCATTACGAACTTCAAATACGACATCTTAAACAATTTCGGTGGGTATTGTACCTAAACTAAACCTAATCAAAATACCAAATATAGGGAGGTACGGGTATATGGGACCTATACGAAGACCTGGACCATTACGAACTCTAAATAAGTAATTTGAAACAATTCCGGTGAATAATGACGCTAAAATCATTAAAATACCGAATATTGGGAGGTACCGTTATATGGGGCTATACGAAGACGTGGACCTGCACAGACAATTTTCTGTCTTAGGCTGTAGTATCCATCAAATACCTAATTAGAAACAATTCCGGTGAATAATGTCGCTAAAATCATCAAAATACCGAATATCGGGAGGTACCTTTATATGGGGGCTATATGAAAATGTGGACCTACATGGCCCATTTACGAACTTAACTTGCCTACTGGAAAAATAAACATGTGTGCAAAATTTTAGCCTTCTATCAAAATTTGTTCGAAAGATAGGTGGTTACAACAGACAAACGGACATCGCTAAATCGACTTAGAATTTTACGCTGATCAAGAATAATTATACTTTGTTGGGTCTGAAATGAGTATTTCGAGGAGTTACAAACGGAATGACAAAGATAATATACCCTCCATAGTATGGTGGAGGGTATAAAAATCGAAGATTTTTTGGTTAAAGCGTCTCTGAAAAATTTCCACAAATTCTAGTTAGAGTATTTCTGGTTTGGAATATTTTTGAAAAAGCAAAAAAAGAGAGATAACTCTAAATCAATTGAAATAATTCTCATTCAAGTTGAATAGCTTGACATATAAGCTTTTTCGTCTTTTTCGCCGAAGTTGTATCTGTTGACGTAAAACGACGACGTTTTTTACTACAAGTACACATAATTAATAGCAAGGGTTAACTAATTCAAAATCAAATGAAATAATTCTCAATCACGTTAAATACACGTTAAATATATATATTTGATTATAGACTTCCAAAGCGACCAGGAATATGTTATCTTCCAGAATCTTCAAGATTCTACAGGGTGAGATAAAAAATGTGTAACAAAGTCTAACGCCATAATTTTTACATTTTTTTTAAATTGTATTGAATGACAGTAAAAAATGTTGGAAGTAGCATAAAATTTTAGAATAAGTTTAGACTTGTTCGAATTGGTTACCTTTGGCACGAATTATGGCCTTCAAACGGCCAATGAATCCGTCAGACGCTGCCCGAATGTTGTTCTACGGTATTTTGGCCCATTCCCAGCGAAGCGCTTTCTTGAGGTGATCGACACTATGGTACTTTTTAGTACCAACATTGCTTTCCAAAAACTCCAGGCACAATCGTCGCCATTGTGCGCTAAAAATGAAGTGAGGAACCTGATTTTGTAACCATTCTTGGGTGGCCCGTGCTGAGTGTGATGGTGCTAAGTCCTGTTATAATGTCCAAGGTCTGTGGCCAAAATGTTTGCGTGCCCAAGGCTTTAATGAACCCTTTAGAATATTTTCGCGAAAATATTCGCCATTTATTCTGATGCCACGGTCGATGTTATGGCTGTTATGGCTGTTATTCTGTTCGTTTACAAACAGCTGGACAACGAATCTCATCGGAGAAAACCAAATTTGGCAGTTCACCACATTCGGCCAAGCGAAGCAACTCTTTAGTTCTTTTGAGTCGATTTTCTTTCTGTTGCGGTGTAAGTTCTTGAACTTTTTGGAATTTCAAGGCTTTACCTCATTTGTCAATATTTGCCAAAGAACGTCGTCCTATACATACAGTGTTTCGCCACCGGAGCTAGAACCCATTACGAACTACAAATACTAATTTTTAGACAAATTCGTGAAAAAATATGGCGAAAAACATTAAAATGCAGAATATCTGCAGGTAACATTATGTGGGGCTATACGCGAACGTGGACCTATAAAAACTATGTTCCACAACAGCAGCTAGAACCACGTATTTTAGTTATTTCTCAGGGCTTAGGCCATATTTACCAATCAAAAAACCACAATACTAATTTTCGGCCAAATCGATTGGAAAATATGGTAAAGGACCTAGTAGTAGTTAATATCAAAGATTGTCCTTTATATGATGTCTTAATAGGACACCTTTAGTTATTCGAAAGACGGAAGTCTTTTTATGGGATTTTTATAGGAAAAAACGACACTTCAAAGGTCTTGTAGTAATAGTTGAACACTGAGGAATCTTATGAATATAGTACCATGATTTTTTTTATAAAGGCTAAACTTTCGTAAGTCTTTTAAGGCAGAAAAAATTCTATACGCCACTAATTGAGAGAAGAACATTCATACCTCTCTGAGATCTTCTCAAGACAAAATGCCTTTGAAAGTGATTGAAAGACCTTCTATAGGTTTCAAGTTGATAGATTTTCTGCTATAGGCTTTCTATGGATGGATCAACTTTTTGAAGACTTCTATCGGCAGAAGACATTTTAAACAGCTTCCTAAGATAGACATCCATTTAGAAGGCTTCTCTCGGCTGAAGACCAACTATGGGTATCTACAAAAAATTGTTGTTATTATAAAATTATTGTTGGAAATGTAATATTTTCATTTCCAACAAGTGCTTGATCCTATTCAATTTATCACCAGTGTACTTCACATATGTGTGTGCTCACTAATAGTTCACTTTAATTAATGATAATTTTGTCTCGCTGCTGTTTTTTTTTTCTTTTTATTATTTCACTAAATAAACTGATCGTTTATCGCTATGAATGTAATTCATATGTTATTATAGACAAAAATTTCAGGCAGCAGCTGCGGCAGCAACAGCAACAGCACCGACTAGCAGTGATCATCTTGCATGAAATGTACATAATTAACATATAATCTTTCATCTTTAGTTTATGAAAAGTGCAATAAATAATGTATTTAACAGAAACGAACAGGAAAAAAAAACAATTGAGAAATTTGTTTTTATGTCCCGTAATTGGCCGACGTGTTAATGGGGTTTGGGATTAAACGATTTGCATTTAAAGTTATTTAACAGATTGAGATTTTTTTTATATATTTTCGAAATTAATATGCTGTGAATGTTATTTGGCAGAAACATAAATCTGTTATGAAATTGTTTTGAGGAATGTGACATCTTGAAGTGAAAAAAATAACTATCGTAATTAATTGCTAGATAAAAAGTGAATTAAATGAGGCTGAATCTTAACGAACGAAACTAATGTGAATTTTTCAAATTAAAAAAAAAATCGCATAGGCTAGTGGAAGTGATTTAGAAAATATGTATGCTGATATATTCCATCTTTTATTCCTCGATCCATCATCAATTTTGGTTTACAAAAATTTTTTTTGACAAATTTACCAATCTTTTGAATTCGAAATAAATCAGTTTTTAATCTTTCTCCATTAAATGAAGTATTGAAGGGAGCTTTTGACTCCGATTGGAATATTGTTAAAGTAGCATTAAACAAGTAAAAAAGCTGTAAGTTCGGTCGGGCCGAATACCCTCTGCCATTTGGAACGATTTTGGCAATTTTCAAAAAAATAAAATCCGCAAATCTGTTAAAATCTTTAAAATACAAAATGTAGCCGTCGGGTCTAAACGACGACGTGGACTTGCATAGGCATCTTTTTTCATAAGCCATTACAATATTCAAATGAGAAACTAGAAAAAAATCGGTAAATACTGTTGCTAAAATCATCTATATAGGGAGGAACTATTAGATGGGGGCTATACGAAGACATGGACCTGCACAGACAATTTTCTGTCTTAGGCTGTAGTATCCATTACGAACTTCAAACACTATATTTGAAAAAATTCCGGTGAAAAATGTCGCTAAAATCATCATAATACCAAATAAAGGGAGGTACCGTTACATTGGGCCTATACGAAGATGTGGACCTGTACAGACAATTTTCTGTCATAGGCTGTAGTATCCATTACGAACTTCAAATACAATATATAAAAGAATTCCGATGAATAATGTCGCTAAAATCATGAAAATACCGAATATCGGGAGGTACCGTTATATGTGAGCTAAACGAAGGCGTGGACCTGCACAGATAATTTTTTTAGGCAGTAGTATTCATTACGAACTTCAAATATCAAATTTGAAACATTTCCTGTTAATAATGTCGCTAAAATCATCAAAATACTGAATATAGGAAGGTTCCGTTATATTGGGGCTATACGAAGACGTGGACCTACACAGACAATTTTCTGTCATAGGCTGTAGTTCCCATTACGAACTCTAAATACGTAATTTGAAACATTTCCTGTGAATAATGTCGCTAAAATCAATAGGAATAGGAAGTAAATACTCCATCAGCACCCGAACCAAATTTAAAGCACTCGCCCATAATATTTATATTGTTTGTAATTTATTTTTTGTCTTTATAATACAAATTTTATTTACTTATTTTATGAATAACTTCTATTCAATATTTATGTAACTAAAGGTGCATTTTACTCATAAATGATCTATCGATAACTGCAATAATATTTAATTTTTTGTTAATACATAAATCTTTTTGAACTTAAATGTTTAACTTATATATTAATCATGCATTGAATAGCTAAAGGAACATACAAATAATACATACATAAATACAAGTTTTCATACAATATTTACAGAATTTGTGGAAAGTGATCTTTTTTTTTCGAAAACCAATTTTGTGATCCAAAAATTGTTAAATTCAACATTTTATATCCATCAATATGAGAAAATCCTAAAACAAATCTAATAAACATAATGTCCTCCATAAAGAAGCCAAAATGATTGGGTTTAAAAATCCAAAATAAAACAAGTAAACAAAGGCTATAGCCGTGCGGCATTTGATACCCTACAACACTACAATACTTGTATGTTGAAAGCCCCCTTAGGTTTTTGAAATAATGTCATAGAGCCCTAGCATAATGTCATTTACGCACTCGTGTGGATTTAAATTGTGAACTGTAGAACGACTGCGAAATCAGGAATTTTTATTTTTTTGTCCATTTGAACCCCTAAATGTACATCTCCATAACAACAGGCTTTAATTCTGACCCAAATAAAACAAATCGCATGCTATAAAAAATACGATAAAAATTGAAAAAAAAATCACTTTCATATTTTTACGAGATTTTCATAGAATTTATCCTTTTCTGGCAAGATACCATTCCGAATTGATGAGAACGATGAAAATCAGTCCAGCGGTTCTTGACCTATAAGCGGAATAACTTACATCGAATTCTTCTTTAGCTTGTAGCTGTATACGATATCTTAGCTATCAGCAGCACTGCAACAGTCAGAAGTAACCTTTTAATGTATTTGTGATTTTGCCGGAATTAAAAATACTCGCGGTTTGGTGAAAATTTTGCGTATTTTTTACCCGCTAAATATTATCCGATGGCCAAACAAAATATTAGGCTTCTTCCAGCCCTAAACTCTAACTCAACGGTAAATGCCGCATAGATTGGTCTATAATTATGGCCTGTAGAGCAACAACAAAATAAAGATTTTCTTTGTTTTTGGTCCATTTCAAACCCCTAAATATTTTGCGATCATCACCAAAAACAATAGGCTTCTATTCTGACTCTAACCCCACCTCCATTTTCAATTTCGTGAGGATCGGACCATAAAATTAATTTTCTAAGGGCACTGGAATGACCTTAATTTTTGAGGAAATACAAAACTTGGACCGATATTGACAAGGAACGAATTTTAATCCACGAGAAACCGAAATTCAATATTGCAGTCGAATCTGTTGCAAGTTGCGAAATATTAGTAGACTGCGGGGAGGGGGATATCCAAATAGACGTCGGTAGATCATATTATTTTCTAAACCGTATTAAAAAAAATTGTGTAAAATGTGTCTCGTGCCGAGGGCATCTACTCTGGGTACGTCCCTTAGCGGAGGTCTGTCCTGTTAAATCCCTATTAAGTTTACGAAAAATCAAATCAAACATCGAAATTATCCACTAACTTTATAGGAGGTCATAAGCCATAACGTGAACCGATATTTCGTCTAGAGCAGCAATATGGGGCGATTTTTTCAATGAGAAACCAACATTTTAAATTAAATTCGACCATTATTTCCAATTTTGCGGCTTCCGAGCCGGAGTGACACAGTATGCAGTCTTATATAGATCCTCTTTTTAGTGTATCCTCAAAATATATTATCCAATTTTGAACAAATTCTTCACATAGCCCTTAAGATTTCAGAATATAAAATTTTAGCACTTTTGGCTACAAAAAGTGGCTGGGTCAAAACACGTGAAAATTGACCTCAAAGTCAATATGGGAATCTAATAATTCGTAGGGACGAATTTCAGCCTATGTGAGAATTTCCAAATTACAGCATAGTATGTACTCATTGTTATGCAATCATTGATCAATATGTGGACCAATATAACTCGTTGAGGCGAATTTCCATCCAAAGTCAAAATTCCCGATTTGTTAGAGATGAGAGGAATCAAATAAAAGATTCGGCAGGGCCGACCTTTTAATACCCTTCATCATTTGGAAGAAATTAGACTAATTTGTATAAATTCCATTGAAAAGAAAGACCGCTAAAATTATTGAACACCGAATGCAGGATTGTACATCTCTGTCAGATATTACAGATAGACGCATAACTGCAGAGAAAACGGATTTGAATTAAATCCGTTTAGAGAAGCGAAAAACCGAATATGGCGACTTGTACAGGTAATTTTCTGTCATAGGAAGTGGTACGAGGGCAGTTCGGAAACTTCTTAGCCTAACACAAAAAGCACGGTATAAACAGAAAAAAGTTAAGTGTTTTGGAAACTTCCATGTCTGTTATGAACAAATGTTAAATTTTGTTTGACATAAACGGATACCTTTAGAAGGTCTATATAAATTGGAGGATATAAAATGTTGGAGGATAAAAGGGTCGACAGGTATCCATTTTACCCCTAAATCGCTCCTTATTTCTTTTCGTTTCTCAAATCTTCGAAATCTTTCGAAAACAAACTTTAATTTCAAAATTTTAATAAATATACGGATTGGCTAAATAATTCTATTCATTATGCTGTAGTGTTTCTCCCCTTCTTATCATTTTAAACAAAACACGGCTAATGTTTGGGTGGAGAATGCTGTTGTGGCACTGGTTGTGTTTGAGGTGCCGGAGAAGAACCTTGTGGATTATGTGGCTGCTGTTGTTGCAATGCCTGTTGTCTTTGGTGCTCACTTTGAGCATATAATTGCTGTTGCTGCTGTTGATGTTGTTGCAAAAAATGTTGATGCAGAAATTGCTGATGCTGTTGACTCTGCTGCTGTTGCTGCTGATGCTGCTGGAACATTTGATGGCCGTGATGGGCAGCAGCAAAGTGACGCTGTTGCATTTCCTGAAAATGTTCATTCATCATGCGTTTCCTCTCCTCCGCATCCATTAGCTCATGTTCGGCATCATCATAATCGTCCATGTCGATAACTTCATCCTCGTCTTCGTCAATGTCATCACCTTCGGCCATATCAAGATCATCTTGATCTTCGAAACTTGTCTGGGAGCCGTCATTTTTGCTGCCATCATTATCACCAGATTGGCTGCCTTTTTGACTTTTGGTATCGCTGTCGCCCTCCTGTTGCATGCGTTTGTGTTTGGTGCGGCGATTTTGGAACCAAACTTTCACCTGCAAGAAAGATGGAGAGGAAGAAGAAGAAAGGCAATTAGAATTTCACACATACAGACACACACACACATGATAGCTTAATGACACAACTTTCAACTATGAAAACGACCCCATTTGAGTTACACCCCCTGTTTTCCCCCTCTGCCACATTTTTGTTCCAAAAAAACTTATTGCCATGTAAATTCTCACTTAATAATAATGACGAACGTAACAATATTTAACAGGCGTTTACTTTTATTACCAACTGTAATTTTCTTGCAATTTATAATTTTGTGTTCCCTTGAGTTTTGTTTTTTTTTTTCGTTTTGGCTGAAGCTATTTTTTAGCCATCATTTATTGCAGCCAGCCTGTCAGTTTCGTGGCATAGCTCAGTGCAGCAAAAGCTAAGCATTAGCCTTAAAGGGTGTCAGGAGTCATTTATGCCCGTTGGCAATTTTCGAAAAAACAACCCTTAAGAAAACTGAAAAAATCGAAAGGGTTGCAAGGCATGCTTTACTGGAATTCGGTGAAAGGGTCGTTTCTCTGTCTGTCCGGGAATAGAGTAAATAATTCTAGCCACTTAAGCCCACTTAACGACCAGTTGACATGCAATCACTTAACGTTTAAAAGAAGAGACAGAGGCAGAAGACGAAGTTTGCGACAAGGATGATTTTTTTTTGTAAACTACCGTTATTGAATATTTTTTTTGGCTATTTTGCTATAGCAGCTAGCATATGGCGTAAGATAATGGCTCTAATGGCATTCCCACCCCATTTGGGGTGGATCATTGAAATAAGTGAATTTTTCATTAGAAATCTGGGTGAAGGGTTGCCGAAATGAATGGTTCCCATGGACAGTAATCAAATCCAAAAAGGGGGTTGTGTATGCAATTTATTTTCATTTTTCTAGCACATATAAATTCATATTGGCCAGTTCATATTGCTATTATATTATTAATGTATTTGGGGTAATCGGCGGAAACCTAGTCATTTTCTTATTGAAGTGCCGAAAACTGAAATAATGAAACTAAATTGGTCTTGAGAAGAAAATCAACTTCCAAGTTACTGGTTTAAATGAAAATCGCGAAATGTGGAGCATACAGGGTGAGATGAAAAAACTGCAACCAACTTCAGACTGCTGTCATTTCTAAGCCACTCGTCCGACAGCTGTTTAAATTATTCCAGTGACAGCACATTATATTGTTTACAAGCGTACAAAAGCATTTCAGAATTTTCCAGAAAAAAGTTATTCGTGATGGAATTCAAGCGTGATAGTGAGATTTCTTTATATTTGGCTGGAAAACCACAAGTGGCCATCGTTAGAGCACTCCAGCATTTAAATGTGAATAAATATTTTGTGTCTCGTACGATCGCTCGTTACCTTGATACTGGTAGCGTAGCCCCTGTCAAGGAAGTGGACGGAAGAAAACATTAACATCGGCAGAAATGGTTTGAAAAGTAAAAAAGCGACTTGATCGAAACCCACGTCGCAGTGGCCGAAAAATGGCTCGTGAGCTGAACATATCGCAATATTACAATCGGCATATAATGTGACGACGAAAAATGAGCTCGGGGTAAAGCCATTGAAATTCCAAAAAGTGCAAGAACTTACACCGCAACAGAAAGAAAATAGACTCAAAAGAGCTAAAGAGTTGCCTCGCTTGGCCGAAAGTGGTGAACTGCCGAATTTGGTTTTCTCCGATGAGAAAACATTCGTTATCCAGCAGTTTGTAAACAAACAAAATGATCGCGTTTACTTGCCAAAGAGGTCAGCTGAAAATGTCCACCTTCGGTTGGCCACCAGAACTCAAGCGCCGACCATGGTGATGGTGTGGCCCGCCATAACAGCCGATGATGGCTCTTCGCTCGTATTAATCAACAGTGGCACCAGAATAAATGACGAATATTATAGCGAAAATATTCTGGAGGGTGTATTAAAACCTTGGGCAGCCAAACATTTTGGCCGCAGACCTTGGACATTCCAACAGAACTTAGCACCATCGCACTCAGAACGCGCCACCCAAGAATGGTTACAAAATGAGGTTCCTCGCTTTATTTCCAGCGCACAATGGCCACCAACATCTCCGGATACCAATCCGTTGGACTATTGTGTCTGGAGTATTTTGGAAAGCAAACCTCAAATACCTTATAAAGACTTTGGCTGAATTATTTCAAATGGGCCCTTATGTCGAACCGCTTAAAGTTATCTCATAAAATCATTTCTAGTTTTTAGGAGAAAACACAAACCGACAAAATGCTAACAGTGTCGCCAAACAAAATGTTTATACCCTCAGCCATAGAGAGGGTATATATCATTTGATAGGGCAAAAAGTTCTTCATCGAAATAAGGGTTTTAGACCCTATGGTCTATTTAGCGATGTTCGTCCGTCTGCTTGTCTTGCTGGCTGGTGCGCACGATAACTCTCGAAGGGAGTCCGATTTGATCCAAACCTGACATAGCGTAATATTATTATTAAACTTAGAACTAGTTCGGAGATGGGCAATATCGGTCCACTGCTTTCATTACCTTCCCCACAAAAGGTCGAAATTTTCAAAAATAATAATTTATTGCACAGAAAAGGAGAGGATAGTCCGATTTTGCTTCAGCATTGCAAACCCTAATATTTTCATGAGTGCCAAGTCAGGTGCGAAAATGGACAATATTGGTCCACTCCATCGAGTTCCCACAAAGGGTCAACATTTTGAATAAGTATAACTCTTATAAAATGTGATCTTCAATTACATACATCACATTATTCTTATTAACCAAATGTCTGGCTCCTTACCTCACAAAGGGTCAATATTTTGACGGTGGTATAGATCGGACCATTCCTTCTGGTACCTCCCCCATAAACGGTCAACGTTTTGAATAACCAAAACGATTACAATATCCGAAATAAGCATCCGATTCTCTTCATATTTTACATATCACATTATTTTTATTAAACCAAGGTCTGGTGTGAAGATGGCATATATCGGTCCACTCCTTCGGGTACCGCCCTCATAAAGAGTCAATAATTTGAATATCCATAATGCTCAGAAAACTCGAAATAAACACTCCATTCCAATCAAACTTGGCACATCTCAATATTTCCGCCAACGCAATATCTATATAAAGGTGGTAGAGAACGGACTATTCCTTTTGGTACCTCCCCTACATAGGGTCTTTTAACCATGAATCTCATAAAGAGCGAAATTAACATATGATTCCATTCAGACTTGGCACATCTTAATATTACTATCAACACTAGATCTATTTAAATGGTGGAGATCAGACCATTCCTTCTGCTACCTCCCCCACAAAGGGTTAAAGTTCAGAAGTTCTACTAACACTGTGAACTTGGAATATATCGGCGCATTCCTCCCGGTGCCTTCCCCACAAAGGGTTCAATATTTTAAAAACAAAACGCTAATAAAACGGGAAAAAAACATGCAACTCTCTTCAAACTTGACACATCCAAGCATTTTTTATAACGCAAAATCTATTGAGAAGATGATAAATATTTCCCAACCCCCTCTGGTACCTCACTCACAAAGGGTCACAATTTCCAATGTTTTTTTTTTCTGTCATAACTGCGAAACAAATCGGCGGTTCCACACATCTTGCTATATGTAAATAATTCTCTTAACAAGAAATCTGATATTAATATGTTAAATATCGGAATTTATGATTTCGCATAACATTGGATATAAATGTTCGGTTTGCTTAAAATATTTTGATTTGTATGAAGTGGAATACTTCCGATATTTCATCATTTTCCGAAAATTATCACATATCTCAGAAAATGTGAAGAAAATAGTCGATGTGGTCGAAATATTTGGTACCTTGGAATATTCAAATCAGGCATATGCCCAATATGAAATGAACAAAATTGACCCACTTCTTTGTAACATCCTTCATAAAGGGTCAACAGTTTAAATAATCATAAGTATACATCTGTCGGCACAACCGACTGGTACTATTTAACTTATTGTACCTTTTTTTTACTTATCAAATTTTAAAAAAGGCAGCCTTATATCGCACCTACGCCCAAGGTTGACCCGTAAAATAAATTCGTTTCAGATTTTGCATACATTTGATATAGGTCCACCTTTAGACACAGCCTTCATATAACGGTACGGTAACGATATTTGTATGTGTCTACTACGTGATACAACTCCATTACATCGATATTTTCTGAAATTCGTTATTTTAAAAGTTAATGCGTTAATTCGAAATCGAAAAAAAAAAATCATTTCAAATCATTAGCCCCAGTGCCACAAGCAGAGGGCGGATTTTGTTGCTTTAGCCACATTTTCCAACCGAAGTAGTTTTTGGAATTCTCAAAAGGCTTTAATATTTCGAAATAGTAACGGTTAGACAAATATCTGGAGGCAAAAAATTGTGGGATTTGAAAGAAACCGTTCGACCATTCGATAATTACAGGAACTTCGTAACAAGTAAAAAAGGGGCCGAATTTTGAATACACTTCACCATGTGGAACGAATTTGGCAATTTTCAAAAAAAAAAAAAAAAAACAGTAAAGAAAGCCTTAAAGTCGGTCGGGGCCGACTTTATGATACCCTACACCACTTTCCTAATTTAGTAGAGCTCCGCATAACAATTAAAAGTTTTTATGGGAGAATTCAATCATACACGCTATGATTATAATTATAATTTAAACTTCAAAGGACTAAATATGCCGAAGCATTTGTATCTTTTAAATTCGGACTTGTATTGCCCATTTGGTGCAAAATTAATTTGAAATCGGATAAAGATATATATGGGAGCTATATCCAAATCGTAACCGATTTCGATGAAATTTGGCAAAGATATTTCTGAGCTGCATTCGATATATTTCCCTGAATATCGTTGTTACGGAGTGCATATTACGGTTGTGGGTAACAAATATAACAAATCGGATGAACAATATATATGAAAGCTATAACTATATCTGAACCGATCTACACCAAATTTGACATACAAGCTTCTAGACTCAATTCGGTCGTGAGTGCCAAATTTCATCTAATTTGGGCAAATATTAGAAGTTTGGTGTACAATAAAAGGTAAATCGGACGAAGTTATATATGGGAGCTATATCCAAATCTGAACCGATCTCGATAAAATTTAGCAAATGTATTTCTGAGATGTATTTGATATATTTCCCCAAATATTGTTGTTACAGAGTGCATATTACGGCTGCGGAGGACAAAAATAACAAGTCGGATGAGCAATATATATGGGAGCTATAGCTATATCTGAACCGATTTCTATCAAATTTTGCATACTTACTTCCAGGCCTAATTTGGGTGTATATGCAAAATTCCATACAATTCGGGCTGATATTACACGTTTGGTGCACAATAAAAGGCAAATCGGACGAAGATATATATGGGAGCTATATCTAAATTTTGACCGATTATTTCCAATTTGAATAGGGTTCGTCCTTGGGACAAACAAATGTTGTTTGGAAAATTTTATCTTAATCGGACAATAAATGCGACCTGTACTTTGTTTACAAAAATACATGGACAGACGGACAGACGGACGGACATGCATAAATCGACTCAGAATGTGATTCTATGCAGATCATCAAAAGGAACTATGGGTCTATTTCGTTTCCTTCTGCCTGTTACAAACAAATGCACAAAGACATAATACCCTGACCACCTTGTGGTGTAGGGTAGGACAATTTTCTGTCCTAGGCTGCAGTATCCATTAATAACTTCAAGTACCAAATTTGTAACAATTCCGGTGAATAGTACCGTTAAATCATTAAAATCCCGAATATCGGGAGGTAACGTTATATGAGGGTTATACGGGAGTTACCATTGTATGAGGGCTATTCGAAAACGTGGACCGACAAGGCCCATATATGAACTTAAGAATGAAAAACTGTGCTGTAAAATATTTTAAAAATTATTTCACAATATGTTAAATATGTAATGTATATTCTCTCCATATCCGAAAAATAGATGGAGTTTAAAAAAATAATATCGAGAAGGACCTAAAATATTTTTTTGTATTTTAGTATGGAATGTCGTCTTTAATAGCCATCAAAAACTCGTGCCGTTCTTTGAGCAAGTTCTCCGTTTTGTTTGTTTTTGTTGTTCTTTTTAGAAAGGGTTATTTTGCGTTTATATCCTGTTATTAGTGGATAATTTAAAATATATAAAATCTTGTTCAACCTCCTTAAAAATCGGTGGTAAAGTTACATGCCTCACTTTGCCAGCCAATTTGAACATATCCTCGAAAATTTAGGAGGGAGAGATTCTGTCAGCCTAGCACTCAAAATGTCAAGTTACTTATTATTGGGTTTCAAATTTTTGTCGAAACCTTCAAAATGCCGAAAATTAGGAGGTACCGGAATATGAAAATCAGGAAGTAACGCTATATGGGGGTCAGAGTGAAACGTAAACCGATATGTCCCATACGTATTTCTGTGTATCTAAGAAATAATTACGCCTGCCACTGTCAAAGTATATAGTTCCAGCTTGTGACCGATTTCTTTGGTTTATTTCTTAATTGTCTTTCGTAAAATTAAATTAATCGGGTTTTACAAAGTTTTATTCAAACCATCTAAATTATCCGCATAGCTTGTCATGTTTATGTCAGATTTAACCATTGATGATGGCTAACCCACCCACAAAAACCTTCATCAATTTGCTTTACTGCAGTTTCATAGTTCTAAGTTTTGTGTGCGTTGTCTTGCTTACCTGAGTTTCAGTCAGACTTAAATTTTGAGCCAATTGCTTTCGTTCGGCTCCCACCACATAGTGATTCTCTTCGAAAGCGTGTTCCAGCTTTAGCAGTTGTGTGGGTGAAAATGCGGTACGCACACGTTTTGGCTTACGGAATGGCTGTAGCAGGAAACCTGGAATGAAGAGGGGGAAAACAACAGCATTAATTTTGCAATTGAAGTTTTGCGAGAATATTTGTAATCAATTAAAAATTATTTGTTTTGAGTTTGAACCATATTATAGGGCTTTTCGGTTACGGACACTGGGAGCTATTTTTGTCTGAAATGTGGTCAAGTTTTGATGATAAATTTGAAATTCAACAAGTTAAAAAATATCATTAGGTTTTGCCGACAAATGTATACCCTCAGCCAATGTTCTATTATTTAAATTTATTTTGACTATTGTTATGATTACTCAAATTGTTGACCCTCTGTGGGTTAGGTATCGAAGGAATGGGCCAATATTGACCATTTCGTGTCGGACCTAAATAAATATGATATAAATATTGCGAATTGACAGGTTTGGACTATATCGACTACTTCCTTCATTTTATATGAAATATGTGATAATCCTTAGAAAATGTTGAGGTATAAGATATTGTATAGCGGAGTACTCCATTTTTATATATCATCTAATACAGATAAAAATATTGTTATGGATAAAATTTCCAGAAAATCGAACATTTATATCCAATTTTATTCGAAATCATTAATTCCATATTCATCTCATATTTCTGGTTGAGATAAATATTTAGAAATAGCAAGTTTGAAAGAATCGCTGATTCGTTTGGGAAGTTATGACAGATAAAATTATTGAAAATTGTGACCCTTTGTGGGTGAGGTACCAGAAGGGGTTCGCGTATATATATATATATATATATATATATATATATATATATATATATATATATATATATATATATATATATATATATATATATATATATATATATATATATATATATATATATATATATATATATCATCTTCACAACACATCTTGTGTTAGCAAAAATGTTGTATGTGTGAAATTTTGAAGAGAGCTGGATGCTTATTTCGCTTTCTTTGGGCGTTTTCTTTTTCAAAATCATGAACCCTATGTAGGGAAGGTACCAGGAGAAATGGTCCAATCTCTTCAATTTTTTAACGGATCCCGTTTTTGTGGAAATATTGAGGTGTGACAAGTGTGAATGGAATCGGATGTTAATTTCGGGTTTTATGAATGGTTTTGTTGTGTTGTGGGTAATTACCAGAAGGAGAGCGCCGATATATCCCATCTTCACAGCAGATCTTCTGTTAATAGGAAAAATGGGATGTGTGAAATATGGAGAGAATTGGAATGCTTATTTCGGATTTTTTGATCGTTATGGTTATTAAAAATTGTTACCCTTTGTGGGCGAGGTACTAGAAGAAATGGCCCGATCTCTAGCATCTTTGTCGCAGATCTTGTGTTGATGAAAACATTGAGATAGGCCAAGTCTGAATGGCATCTGATGTTAATTTTGTGTTTTATGAACGTTTTGTTTTTTAAAATCCCAAAAACCCTTTTATGGGGGAAGTACCAGAAGGAATCCGCCGATATTCCCCATTTTCTCAGCAAATCTAGTTTTAGTAAAAATAATGGCATGTGTGAAATTTGAAGAGAACCGGATTTTATGATCGTTTTGGTTAAGTTTGTCACTTTGCGGGGGAGGTACCAAAAGGAATGATCCAATCTCTACCGTTTTTATAACAGATCTTGTGTTGATGAAAATATTCAGATGTGCCAAGCCTAATGGAAACGGATGTTAGTTTCCCGTTTTATGAGCTTAATGGCTATTCAAAATTTTTTGACCCTTTGTGAGGGAGGTACCAGAAGGAGTGGACCGATTTTTTCCATTTTCACAACAGATCTTGTGTTAGTAGAAATATTAAGATGTGTGAAATTTAAAGAGAATCAAAATGCCTTTTTTGCGAATTGTGAGCTTCATGGATATTAAAAATGTTGACCATTTGTGGGGGAGGTACTTAATGGAGTGGATTAATATCGTCCATTTTTGCACGAGATGAAAAATTGCAACCAACTTTAGACTGCTGTCATTTCTAAGCCACTCGTTCGACAGCTGTTAAAATTATTTCAGTGACAGCTCATTATATTGTTTACAAGTGTACAAAAGGATTTTGGTGAGATTTTTCTAGAAAAAAAAATTATTAGTGATGGAATTCAAGCGTTAAAGTGTGATTTCTCTATATTTGGCTTGAAAACCACAAGTGGCTATCGTTAGAGCACTCCAGCATTTAAATGTTAATTAATCTTTTGTGTCTCGTACCATAGCTTGTTACCGTGATACTGGTAGCATTAAGGGAGTGAACGACGTCAAGGAAGTGGACGGAAGAAAACAGCAACATCAGCAGAAATGGTTCGAAAAATAAAGAAGCGACTTGATCGAAACCCGCGTCGCAGTGGCCGGAGAATGACTCGTGAGCTGAACATATCGCAATATTCCATTCGGCAAATATTGAAAAATGAGCTCGGGATAAAGCCATTGAAATTCCCAAAAGTACAAAAAAGTAACCGCAACGAAAGAAAATAGACGCAAAAGAGCTAAAGAGTTGCTTCGCTTGGCCGAAAGTGGTGAACTGCCGAATTTGGTTTTCTTCGATGAGAAAACATTCGTTGTTCAGAAGTTTGTAAACAAACAAAATGATCGTGTTTACTTGCCAAAGAGGTCAGCTGAAAATGTGCACCTTCGGTTGGCCACCAGAACTCAAGCGCCGGACATGGTGATGGTGTGGGCCACCATAACAGCTGATGGTCGCTCTCTGCTTGTATTTATCGACCGTGTCATCATAATAAATGCCGAAGATTATCGCGAAAACATTCTGGAGGGTGTATTAAAGCCTTGGGCACGCAAACATTTTGGCCGCAGACCTTGGACATTCCAACAGGACTCAGGGCCAAAGTACCGCAGAGCAACATTCGGGCAGCGTGTGACGGTTTCATTGGCCGTTTGAAGGCCATAATTCGTGCCAACGGTGAACAATTCGAACAAATCTAAACTTAATCTAAAATTTGATGCTATTTCCGACATTTTTTGCTTTCATTCAATAAATTTAAGAAACAAAGTAAACATTATGGCTTTTGACTTTGTTACAGTTTTTTTATCTCACCCTGCATTGGGATATGCCAAGCTGGAGCAAAATTGACTTATTTTAGCAGGATTTTTTTTTTTTAAATTTCGACCTTTTGTGGTGGAGGTACCAGATGGAGTGCACAGCTATTACCCATCTCCGAACTCGATGCACCAAGTTTCAACCAAATCGGATACTCCATTCTAGAGTTATTGTGCGCTCCAGCCAGCCAGCCAGCCAGACAGACGGACATCGCTAGATCGACTTTAAATGTCCTGAAACGGATTTGGTCCAAAGAGACCTAGGATCTAAAATCGCTATTACGATGAGGCAAGTTTTTGGCCGTATCAAATTATATATAACCTCTCTAGGCATGTGGCTGGGGGTATAAAAAAGTTCACCCTTGCAATGATTAATTTGACATTCAGTTGACCACTAGACTATTCCGTATCCTTGACAAGTCCATAATGTTACCTGGTTCTACTTTGTCTACTTTTGTAGTGATCCCATGTTTCTAAATATAAAATCGGCTAAAAATAAATTCCTCATTGTCCAAATATATATGAATACCCGCAAAGCAGCACACGAGTATATATTTTATTGATAATTTGCCTTTTGCCAAACTGTTTACAAATTATAAATATATTTTTTGCCATTATTCTGATATTTTTTTGCATTTTTGACTTGCATTTTATTCCGCATCATCATCGTTGTCCATTGCGCCTCATTGCTTTTAGTTGTTGGCTGCTACTGCCACTTTTTTGCTGTTGTTGTTGTGGAATATTTATTATTCTCAAGAGCATTCCTTGTTACCATGAATGGTCGACTGATTTCCTAGAATTTTTCATGCAAAACCAAACAAAAAAGACGCAGCCAAACAACCAACCAATCGACAAACATCATCAATATCCAATGATGGTCGTCGGTCGGATGAGGCGTATCGTTGTTCTGCCCCAATGCTGCTGCGGCAAAAATGCAAAAATCCAGCCGAAGCTTTATGATAATAATAATATGCAACATTGGGTGCAACGAGCAGTAAAAGCGCGGCATATAAAACAGCCAGCGAGCGACACAGATCATCAGAGAGTGTGTTTGTGGGTGTGTGTGTGTGCAACAACGGTAGCGCTTTGACTTTTTAATGTGTCTTATCAAAATACAAATATCCGCTCAATTGAAAAATATTTACTTTTTTCCTGCCATGGTTATGCTATTTTACAACAGAACAACAAAGATGCGGAACGGAATGAAAATGTACACTGGGAGAAAATTAAGAGAAATGTAGGTTGTTCAATGTCGAACAATAAAAGTACGTCGCCCTCAAATACGATGTGTGAAACAATTTCGGTGAAGTCATCAACATACCGAATATAGGGAGGTACCATTATATGGGTGCTAAACGAACACGTGGACCAGCATAGACAATTTTTTTTGGCTGTAGTACCTATTACGAAGTGCAAATACGAAATTTGAAACCATTCCGGTCAACATTATCCCAAAAATCATCGAAAACCCGATTTAAGCGAGGCACCGTTATATGGGGGCTATGCGAAGACGTGAACTTGTATAGTCAATATTCTGCTATGGCTTGTAGTACCCATTAGGAACGTCAAATACAAATTGTGCAATAATTCCGGTGAATAATGTCGCTAAAATCATCAAAATATCGAATATAGAGAAATACATGGAGGCTATACTAAAACGTGGACCTGCATAATCAATTTTCTGTAATACCCAAAACGCATTACAAATACGAAATGTAAAACAATACCGAATATATGGAGGTAGGTTATATATAGGTTATATGGGGGCTATACCAAAACCTGGACCTATATAGCCCGTTTTTTAATACCAGAAGTCCTGCAGGCCAAACACATATCTGAGTAGAATTTTATCAACCTGCCTCTTTTCATTTGGAAGCTAGAATGATTTCCACAGAGGAACGGACATCGCTAAACCGACTTTGTGGGGTCTAAACTGTATAGTTCGAGGTTTTACAAACGGAATAACAAACTTAATATACCATC